CCAGGATATGAACTTTCAAAAAATTTCGCACATGCAGAGTAAAAATATTATCGTAATAAAAATATTTTTTTTCACAACTAAATTCTTCGCTGGACGATATTTAGAATTTTAGACATTTTTGATTTTCATAAAAATATTTTTGTTTTTTTTTATTCTGTACGAATGTCGTCTGAAATTGTTTGATTACCGAAACCGTCGAATTTTTAAGTTTCATTCAACATATAAACGATAAAGGTCCTTAGCGGCTTTCGTGTGTGCACGTTTGCTTGGTTTGAGAGCAAAATTTGAACTGATATGAAATATTGGCAAAAAATAAGCCAACAAGAAATAACGAACGCAATTGACGAAGTCGGACCGAAGTTCGTTGGAAGTGTTCGGCAGTTCTGTGCAGTGCTGCACACTCAAATGCTGTCCTTTGTGGTGTATTTATTAGAAAATCACAGTTAAGTACGAAAGACAGGCAGCAGGCAGAGATTTCCTAGCTGTTCAACATCACAGTTTGTTTTGCCTTTTGATGCATGAATGTGAGAGCGCAGATACGTCGACATTCGTGTTGAATTTATTTCTACCCTAGCCCCGAAGAGGCACTCGTGTGCAGTTGTCGTTTCGCTTGTTTGCTTCGCGAGGGGTGAATTCGCAAAAGCAGGACATTGCTTTGTGTTCGAGCAACAAGTGGTTCAGTGCTTTTGTGCAGTAACTGAAATATAAACGACTTGCAAGGCGGCATTATTAATGGCCGAGTAAAATGATTTTCCACCATTAAGTGTGGTTAATATCATTTACGGGGTGGAGATAAAAATTACAGCTTAAAAGTTCACCATTTTACTATAATACTAAACTATAATTCAGTATGCCAGTATAACGCATTTAAAATAGTTAATATATTTTAAAATAGTTAAAATATAAAAAAACAAAAAACACAAAAATACATATATGGATGTATATATATATGTATATATATGTATATTATTTTAAATAGGTAATTAATTTTGAAATAGTAAAAATATAAAAAAACAACAAACACAAAAATACATATATGGATGTATATATATATGTATATTATTTTAAATAGTTAATACATTTTAAAATATATAAAATGTAAAAAAACAACAAACACAAAAATACATACATGGATGTATATATATATATTATTTTAAATAGGTAGTATATTTTGAAATAGTTACAATATAAAAAAACAACAACCAAAAATACATATATATATATATGTAAACAATCAAATATGCACTCAAACTGGTTCGCATGCAGAGGGCTAAGCTACGCTGGCGTACCCATAAGATGTTAAGCTGGTAGAGCATATATTCTGCAATAAATTATATTGAGGCACACCAATCAAATAGAGTTCGATATTTAATTCCGTAAAAAGTTCGTTGAAAAAGGTTTTTATAAGTAATTATTTTAAATTAAAAATGATTTGATGTGATTATAAATTTGTAACTTTAACGAAACCGACCTCTTCAACATTAATAAATAATTTTCTATATTAATAAATAATTTCCTATATGTATATATTTTCAAATATTTAATACATTTTGAAATAATTAATATGTAAAAAAAAAAACGATGATAAAAAATATATATTTATATATAAATAAATGTATTAATGATAAAATGTAAATGCGTTATACTGGCTAATTCAGTATATTAGCTGGGTTTGGGTCAACTAGCTAATGAACATCGACACTGAGTTTTAAATTTGGTAGGGCACGAGTTTAATCCTTGGTACTTACAGTCTCAAAAAATTATTTACGAATAATTAAATATAAGAATCAATTTTAGGACCACTAATGATGGGTATTTGGCAATACTCGAAACAACTATGTGATCAGCCAAAAAAATTCAATTATTTAATAAAATTAACTTTTATTGATGTGATATAATACTTTTCATAATATATCTCTATTGAAAACAACAACTTATATTATGATTTTAGTTACTTTCGTCAGAACGGTTATAAGATCAATTTTTTTAAAATATATTTATATGGTACATATATGTACATAAATGGAGGAATGTCTTCTGTTCGGTTAGGGTCAATAGCAGCACAAAAGATTAACTATTGTAGCGGTGCTGCGCTCCGTCAGGATCCGGTAACCTGTTTATTTCTATTCTATTCTATATATACATATAAATATATACATGCATTTATAAAAATGTATGTGTAAATATATGTATTAATCAATTAGACCAAAATTGCAAGTAATCATTAAAGTTTTGTATGAAAATAAACAATTTTGTGAATCAACATTTGTAAAAAAAACTACCTTTTAAAGCTCTAAAAATTTCCATTGCAAAAAAATTAAAAAAATACTGTACGATAAATTTAAAACCTTTTACAAATTTTTTTTAATTTTTCAACTATTTTAGGTTAATTTGAAGCAGCTCAAAAATATAACTTATTTTTCACTTGGACATCTGGATTGATGACAATCGGTAAAATGAGATTTTAATAGATTAAAAAAAATTTGTGGACTATATATAAACAGCATTTTTATATAAACATTTTTTTAATTTTAAAAGTTTATACGAATGGCTTTTAAAAAATGAGTACATAATTAAAAATAAGTAAACTCTAAGCAAACAAAATTGTAAAAAATTTTTAGTTTATGAAATATGAGTCTTTTGTATTCATCAACCGTCTAGTTTCCAAGAATTCCTTAAGGCAGTCTACAACTAAATAGCTGTGATAGTGTCAAATAGTGTTTATTTACTTTAAAACTATCTTCAGTAATATTTTCAAACAAAAAAGATTTTGGGAACTAGAGACTTAAACTTGTTACGAATAGATATATAAATATTTTTGCCTTACACATAAATACTTCTGCCTGTTTTATAGAAAAAATCCCACGTTTTGACAAAAAAAAAGAATAATTTCAAAAAAGATGCCTCTACAAAAAAGTTTATTTATTTATTCATAGTAGGTTTGTTGAAGACCCCAACCTCATGTCTCTTAAAATAAAATATTTTTCAATACCACAATTTTTGAATTATTACTTATTATTGCAACGATCGACATCTCCAGTACAAAAGTAAGTTGCAAATTGTACCATAACCGCTCAGACTTAAGCTAACAGTGTTGCAAATCAAAAGAAAAAAAATGAAAGTGTCGCACAGTGTAACTAACACAGCGGACTTTGATCAAAATAAATTTTTGCAAAAATGGAACCATTCTGTAATGACCATTGTATGGGTTTGTACACGTATAATCCTCTATGATAACGTCAAAACCCAAAATATTTCGACGAGTAAAAGTCAATACTCACTAATCTGTCTAAAGTTAAAATTTTTTAGATTTTTATAGTAAAATATGTGTGGATGCCATTTACGTTCTGAAAACGTTTTGCTTTTGTAGGCAAATACATTTTTCACGTAAGTCGATTAACCCGTTGGTTCCTCCTGTCAGTCGAAATACAATAATTTGAAAACTTTAAAATGTCAAATGAGAATTTTTTATATAAAGTTTGTTCTGGCGAAACGAACTTTTTGTGACCAAAGCATTTAGATTAGCAAAAAGCATTTAACATAGTCTTTTTTTCAGTTTTCGGATGAATTTCTGGGGCATGTAATCATGTACACCCACTATACTAACTGTCGTACTATAGTCGCTAAAAGCAACAACAGGTCGATGCATTCACACAATGAAAGAAGAAAATACTAAGCTAAGGTAAAGAAGACATGAAAAAAATGAATAATTTCGATATTGGAACCTTATGTTAAAATATAAACATTTTAATTTCAGATACAGTTACTAAGTGCTGACCGACAGTACGAAACTAACAGATATTGGCTCTCACCAAAATTCTGGAAAATAATTGAATTGAGAAAAAAATTTAAATGTAGGTAACAAGAGTCTCATACATGAAATGGGAACTACTTTAATCAACATTTATAAACTTATAAAAGAGAAAAGTAAAAACGGTGTTACTGCGATTAAATGAATAAAATCAGTCAATGAATAGTAGAAGCTAGAGAGTTTTACCCAAAGCTTCGATCTTGTGGCGGAAATGCTTCGAAGAAACCTTAACTAGCATATCATCTACCACCGATTTCTCAACCATTATACCACGCAGATTTCAAATTTCTCTAGTTACAATAACGATGTTTGAAATCTCTAACAAAACAATGTTCTAGCGAAATGCTTTACTGGATTGACTCGGCTATTATTGCCAATATGTTTTTCGTAATCTTAAATAGAATATGAATATCTGAAATACTAGCATATGAATAGAATAAATCTATAGTCATAAGTCTCTCAAAGAAAATGAACTATAATTTAATTACGACTGAGTCTAAAAACTCTGAAGAGACATGATATTCTTTGAGCATGGATCAGAAAGAAATCAATAGAGAGTCCTTCTTAACGATATGAGCTACTGCTTTTCATTGTAGATTGCAATGGAATAATTAAGTTTTCGAAAATGAATCCTGCGGAACTAACTGGAAAAGCAATAGTTCTCTTGAAAATAATAAATTTGTTGATGATATCGCGCAATTAATTTATAAATACATGCAATGTAAACTAAACTCGACTAAGAGGAAGTTGGGGAAAGGAAAAATTGGGGAAAAATTTAGAAAAAAAATCTATTTATTTATTTATTTATCAGAAAAACGAGCGCTACAAAAAAAAAATCTACAAAACGAAGTTAATGTGTATCATGTTTTGGTACACTAACGACAAGCTTCTCAAAGAAAGGAAAGAACGTTGTAGATGAGTAGAATTATATACACTTCAGATGCCTTATTTCAATGGATAAAATACTGAAAAATGTTCTTTACATTGCCAGTGTTTATATTGTATGAATAAATAAATTAGTTAAATTTTAGAATTATTAGTTTATCATCAGTGGAGCTAAAGATATAATATATAAATAAAATATATATATAATAATAATCATAATAATAAAATATATAAATAAATTTATTAAATACATTTCGTTACCAAATTTATTTCAATATATTTTTTAGAAAAGACGTTCTTAATTACATTAATAATTTAGCACAATTATTTAATTTTGACAAAAAAAAATTTATATAATTAATTTTGTATATATAAACCTCAAATAAACTTGATAAAATCCGGCTCCAGTGGGGAATCGAAAACAGGTTTTAGATTCTACTAGCAAGCGATAAAAAATATCTTTAAAGAAACACAAATTATTTAGGATAGAACCATGTGGAACATCCAGGTTCTTCGTCCATATAATTATAGGTACTGTCTGTATCTGTGTCGTCTTCCTCAGAATTGTCACCACATTCCTCATTTTCGTTCACATATTTATTTATTATTTCGTGTATGGTTTTTTTAACAGTATCTACATCTGAAGGAGTTGTTCTAGAACATAGATTAAGCATAATGAATTGTTGTATAATTTCCATTATATTTTGTGAAACAAGATCTACGTTCATTTCACTTTCCTTAGCATATTTTCTTAGAAAACAAGTGGGTTCTTCATATTTGGCTACGGATTCATTAACATAGTCATTATGCACAAGTGATTAGATTTACATGTTAACTTACTTTCTTTTACCATCACACTTTGATCTGTAGAACTATTGGATGAAGCTGTGATCTTGATGTTGGAGTGTGGCGTAACATTTGTAACATTTTTTTTAAGCATCGCCAACTTTTTAATAAGTTCATGAACCTCATCTTGAATCAGATTTAGATCTAGAGCCGCAGGCATCTGTTCTACACACGATGACAAATGAGATTGGCTGGTGGTATCACTTGCATTTGCAATACAAGAACTTCTTCCTCGGTTTTGTACATGACCAGGTGCAATCTGCTTTTTGCCTGTGAACAATAATATGATGACATCTATTTTAAATAATGTTTGTGAGAAATTCAATTCAACTTACGTTTTATTGTCACTCTTCTTTTTTTTGGTGTATCTGCTGTAGTATATTTTGCGCGTTTTTGCTGAGAACCCAAGATCTGATCATTTCCTGCTACGACTGAATTAGCTTTTCTAAGTGATAATAATATCTAATAGAATAAATTTTAACTTACGATTTGGTGCTAGTTTTCTTCGTTTTCTTGGTACCACTGGATTTAAATTATCTAAGGCCGCACAGCGCTTACGTGCTCGCCGAGGAGCCATCCGTACTAAGAAAAAATTTAAAATATTACAAATGATAACTCGCTTTTGAGACGAGCAATTATTTTGCTCCAAATCAGAATGTATAATAATTTTAAATGACATTTGTGTTCGAATAAAAAAAATTTTAAAAAAATTAACAAAACTACGCCTACTTTCTATTTAATTTTTAACCGAAATGTGCTGAAGTAATTGCTTCAAGGCTTTACATACGAGGGAGGTTTAATAAATTTGAACGAAGTCCTGTAAATAATGTTGAGATGATTGTGATCATGAATTACAATAACTTCTATCAGCTTTCTTTATAATCCTTTTACTCAGATGAAGAGTAATAAGCAATCTTCATTATATGATTGAAACATTTGCAAACCTTAGTTTGTGAGTTGTTTGTACGCTTTTTGAAGATAGAGAGGCAATACTAGCACTAAAACACTCAATTATCAAAATATGTTTTAAATATTTATAATAATAAATTTAAATTGAACTCAGCAGGTCAATAGTGGTTCTGTTTCAGACGCGAAGTTCCAAAGGAAGGAAGCAACAGTCTGGCATGTGGGTGTTGGGTACATCCCAACAAGCTTCGTAAGATATTTGCTTATGTATGCTTGGGCAACATCCTTTACTAGTAAGATGTTTAGATCCTTATGGATATTAGAGTTGTTTACATACCACGGTGCTCTTGTTTTTTTTCGTGTAATGAAGTTTTGCACTCTTTGAATCCTTTCAATACTTGTAAAGAAAGCTGAGAACAATAAATTAATTCCATAGGTTCAAATAGGTTTAATAATATAGTTGTAAAGTAAGACTTTGTTTTCGAGACTTAATTTACTAGTTGTGCTCACAAACCAAAACAGTTGGTTATACTTTAATTTCAATTTTGTTTTCTTATTATCTATATATGTGTTTGCTCCAAGTCAGTTTACTATCAAAATCAATTCCAAGATGGATACTTAACGTCATCTGCTTGCGGTATTGGAATGTTGTTCAGTATTGGAATTTTATATAAGGTTCCAATTTAGCTAAAATTATTCTTTCAAAGGTCTTCGGTAAATGCGGAAGAAGACTCATCGGTCTGTAAGAGTTAGCCAGAGTTGGATCCTTTCCTGGTTTAGGAAGCCTTTTTATCAGAGAAACTTCCCATTGCTTTGGATAATAGCCAGTAGCAAGAATGCTATTAAATTAGAGACCACGTGCGTTCTTAGGTTTCGAATTTGCTTAGAATTGCTTCTTTTACTTCATACAGATTTAGTTTAATTGGCGCTTCTACCTTTACTGGAATATAAACTCTAGGGTGGAAGTTGACGAGTTTTGGATTTGGTTGAAATAATATTTTTAAGTGATTAACTACAACAGATCCCGTTTTCTGGAGAACTATTTTGTATGAATACCTTTAACTTTTTGGATACTTTTCACAAGGCACATTTATTTACTTTGTTATAAACAATATTCTAGATTTCTATGACTGTTGAGTGTATCTTTAAGTAATTTAGAGAAGTCATTAAGTCATTTCGCTTTAGGAGAACGAAACTTTTGTCATTCACGTCTTGCCTGTCGATTTACTAAAATTAACTTGTCAATTTTATTGTGAGAAACAACTTTCGAACGAGTGGTTTTACTGTAAGCCGAGGCAAAATTTAAAATTTAGTGCTTCAAGAGCCTCGTGTGTTTCAATTAAATCTATTTCAGGATCTATACCTTTGATTGCTACAATAAGACCTTAGTTCAAAGTAACCAAACAAATCAAATCAATTTCATGGAATACACAATAGTCTGTGACAATGGATAAAGGATCTATAATTTAGGATACATATGGTATATTAGTCATACATTATAAATTCTCTTATTATTTTAATTTCATTAAAATCTATTATAATAAAATAGACACAAAAAGCATTTTTGACTTGCCTTTTTATATATAAATATATTAGTTCATGAATTTTAATGGTTTTGGAAGCCATCCAAGAAAGCAACCATTCATTAAAAAACATTGCCGAAGAATATCTATAGTTGATTTTGTTTTGGTTTATGTTAAAATTTATAGAATTTATAGAATTGTACAATTTTAGTTCTAATATAATTACTTTATGGGTGTGTCGCGTATAGCAAAGCTGCCAACTTTACTATCAAGAAGCTACAATGCTCAATGTCAGAGCGGAGCGGTAACCGAACGGAGCGGTACGCAGATCCTAGATCAGTTGTTGAATAATCACTAAGCTTATGATGAATACACCAATTAGTCAGTGAGATGGGTGGGACTCTGTAGAAACCTTCCAGCTATCAAAGAGCAAAAGTGTCCAGATGCACTAGCTCGGAAAAGGCTCAACATAATAATAATAATAATAATAATATAGTAAATATCTTGAATTTTGGTAATTTCCCTTGTGGTAAATTTATTTTCGAGGGTTGCATTCGATATTTTTGGTTTTAAATCAGTTGATTTAATAATAATGAGCTCATTTATATGAAAACACTTTGTGTGGTAAATTATCTTCATTAGCTGTCTTAATGAGAAGGACTGAGTAAATGAGATAAGTAAAAACATGTTACTAATTTCTTCTGAACTAAGTTGGAAAGCACGATGGCTCATTTAAAACTGTTTTAATAAAGGCAATAGAAGTATACTTTTACTAAATGATGTGATACTTTATAGAACATTTTCTGCATCATTGAAGTATAGTTCAGCACAATCACTATTTTTTAATTGTTTTTTCTTATACGAATTATTATGAAAATAACTTAAGTAAGATATATATAAAAAAAAAAAAATAGAAGAAACATAAACACAACGGATGTAAACACGGGATCAAGAAATGAGCAATTGAAATGCGGATAAGTGAGTAAACATTACAAACTTTCTTCAAGTACCCGCACTACTTTCTTACATTTTTGCTGGAGACCTATACGGTTTCTTAAATCAACAAACATTACCAGTGTTGCCAATGCAACAAGTAACTCAATTTGTATTGTTTGAAGTTTCTGTTTCTCTTTCGTGCTTCCTACTTGAAACAATGAAAGCGAAAATCGGAAAAAACTTAGACTTCAGTTCCTTAATAGAAAAAGTAAATGCAAGTCAAACGAAAAAGTCAAGAAAAGTCGAGAAAAGCCAAAGAAAAATCGTCCTTACGCGGTAGAAAAGTGTTGCTCCTGACAAAGTTGACAAGTTTTGTCACGTGCGTCATATGATGGCTTTTTGCACAGCAAAACGTTTTATTGTTTAAAATATTTCCTTTTATTTTTATGTGGCTTCGGTACTTTCTCCGGCTGCTTCCGGATCGCAACAATGTTCAAGTATTTTTATTAACTTAATGTGGTACTGTGGTATTCTTCTCACCCATGTTGTTGTTGCTGCTGCCGCTGCTGTTATCGTCGGTTTTAATAGTTTGTTTATATCGTCTTAAGTTTATGTGGTTTGGCTTGTGGGAGAGTTTGAGTTAATGTAAGATAATTAATTCATTGCAGCTAATTTAATTATTTTTATGTCTGTGGTTTATGCTTACATGAAATTATAATACCTAAATTTACTACGCAAAATACCAGACAAATAATGAGGTCTCAAAATAATTGTTCAGTAATGAACTCAATAAACTTATTCAGAACTCGCTTTAAATCATTTCAAGCCACGTAAGTAACTCAGAAATTTTTCTGAAATAGAAACTATTAATATATATTTAACAATAAATGGAAGTCATCTAACTATACACTAGAACTATAGTATAGATTTATTGCATTGATCAGCATGGTAAGGCTAAGTAACGCTTTATGTTTATTAAAATCACAAGATTTGCCCATTTTCCATATTCATAGGTTCCAAACTTATTTAAAAATAAATATAAAACACAGGATAATAGAAAAAATTGATTACTTTTAGTTTTGAAGCAATGAGTTCTTTGCTTTCAAATACCAACAAATATACGTTATCGTCAGTCTTTCAATATATCTCTTGAAGAAATTGTCTATATAAAATTATGGACTGCTGGTGTCAGAAATTTAACTTTATCTAATTTGCACCGTAGACCCGTGAACCCAATGTACATTTATATTGTACATCCAAATTTTGTATTTGTTATATTTACATATTTTCAAGACTTTAGGGTTTAACCTTTTCCACCTCAGCCATCTTCTTGTTTCTGCTATATAAATATAAAATTTAATGTGATATGCGATAAATTTATAGCCTGATGTCTTGAGAAGCATACGATATTGACATATAGTTTATCAAGAAAATAGACAAAGTAAACGATATTTCTTGGATATGTTCTTCATTTTAAAAATCACAACTCCATTTTAAAACTGACATTGACAAGTGAGTTCACGTATATAAAAATATTATAGGTATATGAATAAATTGACCATTATAGATAAATATTAATAGTCTAATAGATGCCTAATAGATAATAAACTATACTTCACACCATATTTTCTATAGACAGTTTACTTGCACATATCAATAAATAGATATGGTATCGGTACTATATCAGTATTTCTAGTGAGCGAACACGTTTTCAAGCCAGTCTGTGAGAAAATTAAAATTTACAGTATTAAAACTACTTATAATTCATAAGTGTTTTTATAAAAACTATTTTTCTTATTAATATAAAAACACAAAAAAGAAAAAAACTTTCGACAAAAAACAATTCCAAAAGTGGAAAATAAAAGTCAAAGCTTACCAAATATTGTATCTTCAGCAGTATCGCTTGCAGTTCCCGACTATGCCAGTCTAAAAAATAAAATAAAAATCCAAACACGCATGGAACGCTATGTCAATATTAAATGGAAATTTAATCCTCAAAAAGGCAATTCAAAAGATGCTAAAAGAAATAAAACTAACAAAGATACTGCACCCACAAACATACTTTCTGGTAATAGATTTGCTGAACTACCTGAATCAATACAGAAAAGTAATCAGCCTACTATCAAAAAGTTCAAACCCCCTCCAATCTATCTGCATGAATGCAATTCAAATATCCTTGTTACACTGTGATTGATAACAGCACTTTTCATATTGTTCCTTTAACCAGGGGCAATATACACGAAATCAAGATCAAAATTGAAACCGAAAATAATTTTCGGGTCGT